CGAGTGTTGGGATTGCAGGTGTGTACCACCACACCCAGCTTGCTTACCTCTTTTCCTTTCTTTTCTTTTCTTTTCTTTTTTTTTTCTTTTTTTTTCTCTTATTTTCTGTCTGTCTGTCTTTCTCCTGAAAATTATCAACCTGTGGAATGCCACAAATTGTGCTAAAATTTATGTAAGTTCTGACTCTATTCCTGATACTTTTCATTAATGGATCTTTCAAAAACTAGGACCATTTTAAATTATATCTTACTAACTCAGACCTTTGTGAGGGAAAGCACAGGCTTTGTCCTCACTTCCTTACCCCCTGGCTGCACAGCCACAGCCTTACCTATGCTTTGGAATTAAGGTGGCTTGAGGGGAATCGCATATCTTCAAGCTTGTGTTGCTGTTGGGCTGATTTCAGAATCTCAGAATTACGTACAACTTTCCAGCGGAGTATTTTGAAGAGCAGCTAACTACTGTGAATGGATCTTACCATGTAGTAAAAGTGCTGAAAGCTGGTGTGGTGGTGATCAGTGCATCTCTGACTTCCATTGTTCACCAGGTAGGAATTCAAAAGATGGTCTTTTTAAGCTAAAAATACTGAGGAAGTATTGGCTGACTTGACTTACAAATATGATGTATATTACCCTTATTTTACACAAAATAAGAAATAGACTGATAAATAGACATCTTGGCAGTTTATACTTCTGCAAACTTTCCATTCCAAACTTTGTTGTGCATAATTTGTATTTGTGGCCATTGTGTATATCATTTGAAATTCTTTTATAAAATTATTTCAAGCTGGGCATGGTGGGGCATGCCTGTCTGTAATTCCAACACTCAAGAGGCTGAGGCAGGAGGATCCCTGTGAGTTCAAGGCCATCCTGGGCTACAGAATGGGTTCAAAGCCAGTCTGAACTACATAATGAGACCCTGTCTCAAAAAAAAAAAAAAAAAAAAATTCATATGCATATTGCTTGTCAGGTCCACCTAGGGAGTTCCTTTTATTCCAAAATTCCAAAGGGTTAGCTGGGCATAGTGACCTATGCCTGTAATCCTAGCTGACTCAGGAGGATTATAGATTCTTTTTTTCTTCTTCTTTTTCAGACAGGGTCTCGCTATGCAGTTCAGGTTGGCCTTGAGCTCACTTTGTAGCCCAGGCTGGCCTCAAACTCCCAAGGATCCTCCTGCCTCAGCCTCCTGAGTGCTGAGATTACAGGCGAGTGCTGGGATTACAGGCGTGTGCCACTACACCCAGCAGAAGGATTATAAATTCAGACCCAGTTTAAGCACCAAAAATTTTTTAAAAGGGCTGAGGATGTCACTCAGTGCAAAAGCTCTGAGTTCAATGTCCAGTGCTACAATAAATAATTAAATAAATAGACAAATAAGTAAATACCTGCCAAAGGATTAATATGCCATTTTATTCAGCCCTGCCCCAAACAGTGAGCTTCATTTCCAGTTCTTTGCTATTGTTATAACTAAGTATCTTTGTACACTCTTTTTCCTCTTTTGGTTAATTTTCATATGGTATAATACCAGAAGTGGAGTTACTAGGTAAAGGTATGAGGAATTAATCTGATTTTGTTTTTATCTTCTATTTTTTTTGTTGTTCTTTATTTCATTTTATTTCATTTTACTTATTTATTTATTTAGATTGTTTGAGACAGGGTCTTGCTATGTAGTTCACACTGCCCTTAAACTCAAGTTGATCCTCTTGCCTCAGCTTTATGAGTGCTGGGATTACAGCCATGTGCCACCATGCCTGGCTTATAAATTTCTTCTTAATTGGGAGATATCCTTTGTATTTATATATATGGGAACTTTCAAGTAAAATTCAGGGTCTTCGGAAAAATATGAAGATCTGACAACAATTAGCTGGAACAGATAGTGGCCACACCATTTATTTATTTTTGTGTTTTTGTTTTTTGGGGGCGTTTTTTGGTGCCAGGAATCAAACTCAGGACCTTGCACTTGCCAGGCAGGCACTCATGCCACTGAGCTATATCCCCGGCCAGCTACACCATTTAGATTGTACTTTTCTCTTCTTTTTGTTTGGTTTTTGAGATAGGAGTCTTGGTTTGTAGTTCAGGTAGGCCTTGAACTGCCTGTGTAATTTAGGCTGGCCTTGGACTCGAAGCAATCTTGCCTTGGTCTCCTAAATGCTGGGATTACAGGTGTGCACCCCTATGCCAGCTAGATTAAGCTTTGTAGTCAGCTATAGTTTCTACTACTCCCTGTTTGCTGTTGCTGTTTGCTTTGGTTTTTGGTGGGTTTTTTTGTTTTGTTTTGTTTTGTTTTTTGGTTTGTTTCTTGTTTTTGAGACAATCTCACGGTGCAGGCCACACTGGCCTCAGACTCATGATTCTTTTGCCTCAGTCTCCCAAGTGCTGGGATTACTGGTGTGCACTACCACACCCAACTTCTCCCTGTTATTTCCATCCAGTTTAATAAGCTAGTTTATGTTATGTGCCTGGTACCTGTGGGCATCTGACTCTGTGACCCTACCTAATGATTGGCCCCGGCAAGTTCTACAACCTCAGGCTTTCTTACACGATGATTTTTTTGTTTTGTTTCATTTTTTAAAGACAAGGTCTCATACTGTAGCTCAGGCTGGCCTTGAACTCACTATGTAGCCCAAATTGGCCTCAAACTCTTGGCAATTCTGCTGCCTCAAGCTCTCGAGTGCTGGAATTACAGGTGTGCACCACTATACCCAGCTCTATGAGCTTTTGGTTCCTGGAAAATGCCTTGTTCCTTTTTGCCTCTAAGTTTTATTTTGATTTTTTTTAAATTTTATTTTTGTAAAAAACGTGTAGTTCCTTTTGTCTCTGGCACTCCTTGCTCAGTGTACAGGACCATAATCATCATGTTTAATGTTAGTATTCGTATCTTTCATCAGATTATAGGCTTGGAGGTAATGACTAGGTCTGCTTTGTTCACAGCTATTTCCTGACATCTAGCAGAGTGACTGACATATTTGGTACAAATAAGTGTTTGTAGTTCAGTCAAATATGGACCTATATTCACTGTTACATATGTCCTGCTTTTCAACAATATTTAATTCACAGTGATTTTTATTTAAACATTTTTTTTGTTTTTTTTTAGTAATTTTTTTTTTTTTTTTTTTTTGGTCTTTTGAGACAGGGTCTCACTATGCAATTTATGCTGGCCTTGAGCTCACTTTGTAGCCCAGGCTGGTGTTGGGACTCGCAACCATCCTGCCTCAGCCTCCTGAGTGCTGGGATTACAGGCATGTGCCTCCAAGTGTAGCTTTTTTTGTTGTTGATTTTTTGAGACAGCATTTTCTATATAGTTCAGGCTAGTCTTGAACTCACTTTGTAGTCCAAAGGCTGGCCTTAAAGCAATCTTCCTGCCTCAGCCTCCAGAGTGCTGGGATTACAGGCATGCACCACCAGAACTTCCTGAACAACTTCTTTGATTTTTCTCCTAAGGTTACTTGACAAAAGGTCATGTTTGCCAATAGTCAATTTTTATAAAACACTTTATTTAAATATATAATTATATATCATTACAGTATTCCTGGCAGTTTGAGCCTATTTTTAGAATAGCTTTTCAATTCCAAAAACCTTACTTTTTTAAAAGTATTATTATCATTGCTGTGCTGGGGATGAAACCCAGGGCCTCATGGATGCTAGGCAAGAGGTCTACACAAAGCTGTACACCCAGCCCATAAAAAGTAGTGTGTTTAAAACACGAGTTCATTCTGGGAGTTCAGTGATGCTCACCAGGGACTGGGGAGAGCTAGGGGCAGGAGTGGGAAAAGATCGGTCAGTGGGGGCTAAGTTACAGTTGGGCAGGGCTAAGTCTAGCATGTGCTTGCGTGCTAGGATGATTGTAAAGAACAGCGACATAATGAACATGTCACAGAGCTATAAAGAAGGACTTTTAAAGTTTTCACTGTAAAGAAATGTTAACTATTTGAGGAGTCAGTGCATTTAGCCTGATTTATAACATGCATTGAAAGATCACACGTTACCCCTTAGTACATACTTTTTTTTCCAGCACTGAGGACTGAATCCAGGGCGTCTGCAGTGCTGTGCAAGTCCTCTACCACTGGACTAACCACACCTCCCCAAGGCTGGCTGCTTTCACTGTGTCTGATGCCTTTAAGGCCCATCCAAATTGTTGCATTTATCAATATTTCATTTTCAGATAACTGCCGAGTAGAATCCCATCATATGGATCTGCTGTACTGAAATTTGCTTAACACTTATTAAAGGACATTTGGGTTGCTTTGAGTATGAAAGATACTCTCAACATTCCCACCCAGATTTCACTGTGAGCAAACATTTTCATCTGTCTGGGACAAGTGCCCAATAGTGCAATTGCTGAATCATATGGTAGCTATATGTTTACTTTTGTAAGAAACAACCAAAGCATTTTCTAGAATGACTATATAACTTTATTTTATATCCCTATTAACAGTGTATGAGATATTAATAATTTTCAATGTTTCTGCCTTTTTTCTATAGTTTTTTTTGAGCTCTTTCCCTATTGTATAATTTTGATAATAAAGTCTGGTGGATGTAATTCCATGTTATCAAGTTTGTTTTGGTTCAGTTTGAGACAGAGTCTCCCTACATAGTTCAGGTTCGCTGTATACCCAAGGCTGGCCTTGAACTCATGGAGATCTCCTACCTCAGTCTCCCGAATGCTGGGGTTACAGGCATATGCCACCATGCCTGGCTTCATCTATCTATCCATCGATCGATAGATCTATCTAAAGATCGATCGATCTTTCTTTCTTTCTTCCTTCCTTCCTTCCTGTCTGTCTGTTTGTCTTTCTTTCATTTATTTTTCTGAGACAGAGTTTTGCTATGCAGTTCAAGCTGGCCTTGAACTCACCTTTGTAGCCAAGGCTGGGCTCAAACTAGAAGTGATACTCCTGCCTCAACCTCCCAAGTGCTGGTAGTACAGACATGCACCACCACACCTGGCCCTGGCTTCATCTTTCATTTTTAAAAGTTTATTATTTGAGGCTGGGCATGGTGGTAGACACCTATAATCTCAGCCACTCCAGAGACTGAGGCAAGAGGATCTCAGGTTTGACCCCAGCCTAGGAAGACCTTGTCTCAAAAAGGGGATGGGAGTGGGATTGTAAATAGTAGAAGGTCCTAGGTTCTATCTCCAAGACCATTTAAAGAAAAAGAGTTCTATCCAGACTTAGCATGTGATCTGTTCTCCCAGTATATTCCTTCTTGGTTCCCCTCAGTGGTTACCTAAAATAAATATTACCAAGAATGATACTTGTTTGTTTGTTTGTGGCTTAAAGCAACACAAATTTATTATCTTACTGTTTTGGAGGCCAGAAGTAAAAAATCAGTCTCAGAGAGATAAAATGTTCTTTTTTCAACTAAAAGGCTTATTTTTAGTTTATGATTTGGCTACCTTAAGAGAGTGAGGAGAAGCTGGGTACAGTGGTGCACATCTGTAACCCTAGCTACTCGGGAGGCTGAGGCAGAAGAAGCACAAATTTGAGGACATCCTAGGCCATTTAGTGAGAACTTGTCAAAGTGAAGTGGGGGAAAACAAGCATGGCTGGGGTTGTAGCTCCATGGTAGAACACTGGCCTAGCATTTGGAGGCCCTGATTCAAACTGTAGTACCACATATGTACATACAGACCTGCGTACCTAAGAATATCAGGGCTGTCACCGCAGTTGTGATACTACTGATAAATATTTAAGGGTTTCTTAAAAGAATGGTATATAAATGATAGGTAGATATATTGACTGATTGATTGATTTTGCCTTCAAAGGGAAAACGTCAGCATAACCAGGTAAGGACTTCATTTTACCTGTACAGATTTTCACTCATACCTTATGCTTATTTTTTTAAGTATGAGTGGAATGTCTTACCCCAGCACTTTTTTTTTTTTTTTTTTTGCTTTTGAGACAGGGTTTCACTATGTAGTTGAGGCTGGCCTCGAGCTCACTTTGTAGCTCAGGCTGGACTTGAACTCTCAATGATTCTCCTGCCTCAGCCTCTCAAGTGCTGGGATTACAGGCATGCGCCGCCACGCCCGGCTAGTAAAATTTATTTCATGAAATGTTGAACTATTTCTCCTGATAGTGGTATTTAGTTTTAGCAAAATCCTTTTTATTATTATTGAGCCATAGTAGTTGTGCTTCTTTAATGAATATGAGTATTTTTTTTGAGTATTTATTTTTGTAAATAGAAAGTGGTTGAAATATTTATTAGCGCAGTATTTTGGTGATGTTTTCAATATATATGTACATCATAAAAGCAGTGCTTATAACATCTGTTTCGTTCTTTTTTCTTGTTTCTGTAGAATAACAGCATTCAGCCTATCAAACTTCTGATCCAGCACTGGCAAGAAGTGATTGTTTATTTTCCCATCAAGCTCACACCTAACTTCCTGGCATTTCCTCATCATCCTCTGGGAGTGCTACATCGCTATCAAGTACAGGTACGGTGTCCTAGAAGAATTCACGGACAAAAGTCAGTTTCTCTGATAGGTTAGTTTATTGGAATTTCGTTAATGTTAAATTTTATTTTTCCCAGTCTTTTTGGCGGGTAGGGGTGGAGGATGAGATAGGGTCTCACTGCTTAGGGTGGCCTCAAATTCCTGGTGATCTTCCTGCCCCAGCCTCCTGAATGTTGGGATTATGAATGCAAGCCACCAGTTTGGCCTCTCCCCTAACCCTGTCTGTGGGGGTTTTTTTGTTTTTCTGTTGTTGTTGTTTTTTGAGATAGGGTCTTACAATACTGTTCAGGCTGGCCTTGAACTCACTGTGTAGCCCAGGTTGGCCTCATACTTGTGGCAATCCTCCTGGCTCAGCCTCCCAAGTACTGGGATTATAGACATGCGCTACTATGGCTGGCTCCATCCCCAGTCTTAAGAGTATAACTCAGTCTTTGGTAACTGAAAAATCATGCTCTTAAATGTTATCATCTGCGGGTGTGATGGCACATGCCTGTAATCCCAGCACTCAGGAGGCTGAGGGAGGAGGATCATTGCGAGTTTGAGACCAGCCTGGGCTACAAAATGATCTCAAGGCCAGTCTGAACTGCTTACAAGACCCTGTCTCAAAAAGTCAAAAAGACAAAAAATAAATAAATAAATGTTATCATCTATTACATCTGTCTGTCTTCCATATATCCGTTCCTTGTGAGTTTTATGAGGTTTTGTTAAGTAAACTTTACCCCATTTTTTTTCTTTTGTGGTAATACTGGGAATCAAACCCTTTTTATTTTAAGACAATAAATTCCCCAGGGACAGCTCAAACTTTCAATCTTCCTGCCTTAGCCTCATAGAATGATGGGATTACAGGTATGCAAAATTATGTCCAGCTCCTTGCACTCCTCCCCTTTTTGTTGTTTGTTTCTTTGTTTGTTTGTCTTTTTGAGACAGGGTCTCATTATACAGTTTAGGCTGGCCTTGAGCTCACTTTGTAGTCCAAGCTGGTCTTGAACTCCCAATGATCCTCCTGCCTCAGCCTCCCAAGTGCTGGGATTACAGGTGTGCACCACCATGCCCGGCTGTTGTTTGATTTTTAAGACAGGATCTCCCTAGGTAGTTCAGGATGGTTTTGAACTCACTGGAGTAAGACTGGCCTGGAACTTCCAGCGATCCTCCTGTCTCAGCCTCCTGAATGCTGTGGTTACAGGCATGCACCCCCCTACCCAGCTACTCAGTAGTTTCTTAATGTGTATGGAAATAACTTGTTATATAGTTTTAGTCTTAAACTTTATTTTACCATTCAAGCTTTACATTTTCACTTAAATTCCATTTTTCCTCCTATAGTCATTGAATATAGGGTTATGCTTTCTTCCAGGTAGAGGGTGGTAGTGGCAACTTCACCTGGAGCTCTTCTAATGAAACAGTGGCCATGGTAACCACCAAAGGAATAGTCACTGCAGGTCAAGTCTGGGGGAACAGCACAGTGCGGGCCCGAGATGTACAGAATCCCTGTCGATACGGAGAAATGAAGGTAAGTTATTCTCCAAAGAAGCCTCTTTACCTCAGAGTCACTGCTAAGTGTCTCAGTGTTTAAAGCTAAGTACATTACCATGTTTGAAAATATTTTTGGTCCGATTTTGCTACATAAAAATGTTCAAGTTCAGTCTGGAAATATGTATTACTTAAATATTTTTGAACCTGGGTGGAATTCTGCTCCGCTTAATAACCATTTACTAAGCAGGGCATGGTGGTGCATGTCTGTAATCCCAGTATATGGTAGGCTGAGACAGGAGGATTGCTAGCCAGCCTGGGCTATATAGTGAGTTCAAAGCCAGCCTGAACTACCTAGCAGGAAAAAAAAAAAACAACAAAAAAAACAAACCAGCAAAAAATAACTGCTTACTTAGGATCAATGTCTATTTTCTCTTCTCCAAAATGGGGAAAAAGTCTAGGGATGTTGCTCAGTGGTAGAACACTTGTCTAAAATGGGGAGAATTTTCACATCCAGCTTAATAATCTCATAATAACCTGTCAGAATAAAGTGAGATAAATCAAACCAGATCATAATGTTTAACACAGTGCTTGACATATAGTCAATACCTAATGGTAGCTAGGGGGTTCTTTTTTTTTTTTCTTTTTGAGACAGGGTCTCGCTATGCAGTTCAGGCTGGCCTTGAGCTCACTTTGTAACCCAAGCTGGCTCAAACTCACAACAATCCTGCTTTAGCCTCCCGAGTGCTGGGATTACAGGTGTGTGCCACCATGCCCAGCTAGTAGCTATTTTTAAAATAATTATTATGTATAAAAAAATTTTTTTGTCTTTTTGAGACAGAGTTTCGCTATACAGTTCAGGCTGGCCTTGAACTCACTTTGTAGCCCAGGCTGGCCTCGAACTTGCAACAATGCTCCTGCCTCAGCCTTGTGAGTGGTGGGATTACAGGCGTGCATCACCATGCCTGGCTCTATACATACAATTTTTTTTTTTTACATATACAATTTTTAAATCGCCTTTATAGAACCTTTATTTATAGTCTCACATTTTAGTTTATTAATCTGTTTCTACAAGACTGAAAACATCTTTTTACTCTACTTTATAACTGTTTTCCTCTTTCTCTCCCATTTTCAGTTTAATGTTGCCTTTCACTATGAGACTTAGCATTTTCCTGGTACTAGATAGTGTAGGGTATTAAAAAACAGGTAACATACTGGCCCTATTTTAAAGAAGTTAAAGGCTGGGGATATAGCTTAGCGGCATAAGTGCCTGCCTGGCAAGTGCAAGGTCCTGAGTTTGATTCCCGGTACCAAAATAAAGAAGCTGAAACCTAGGTAGGAAGATATATTCATATAAAAAGTTCCATAACATTTATGGAAGCAATATGTGAAGCATTTTACTTGCTATTTTATTTTATTGGGTTCTTTTGAGACAGGGTTTCACTATGTAGTTCAGGCTGGCCTTGAACTCACAGTGCAGCCCAGACTGGCCTCAAACTCACTGTGATCCTCCTACCTCAGCTTTCTGTGTTAGGGATTACAGGCATGTGCCACCGTAGCCAGCAGTGTGAAGTGTTTTAAAGGAGTGTGTGGCTGACAGCTGCTTGAATTGTACAGAAGACACTATTTGTTTATAAAGGAAGAATCCTTGTGGATGGCACCACAGTAGTTAGAGCCTGGAAAGGTGAGAACCTGAATAAAACTCTGGAAGAAGGAAGCAAACCAAGGCCTAGGGCCCAAATCCGGACGGCTGCCTTTGTGGGAAAGGAAGCGCCAACTTGGTCAGCGCACCCCTTCATTGTCTGTAGCTGCTTTCCGCTCCGTAGCTACAGCAACCTTGCGGCCTGCTTTCTGTGTAAGTGTGTTCACACTCTGGCCTTTATAGAAAGCGTTTGCCAACCCCTGTTAGACACAGTGGAGAGCGACACTGGTTTCTATACAGGCCAGTAATATGGTGATGCCTATGTTTGGAAAGAAGCCTAGCTGTCTTTATAATCAGACAAGAACATGATAATTAAAAAAAACAACAAGGTATGGCCAGGTATGATGGTACACACCTGTAATCCCAGCACTTGGGAGGCTGAGGCAGGAGGATCCTTGTGAGTTTGAGACCAGCCTGGGCTACAAAATGAGCTCAAGTCCAGCCTGAACTGCGTAGCAAGACCCTGTCTCAAAAAAAAAATAAAAATAAAAAAAATCAAGGTAGCAGCTGGTGCTACAGACTAGTAGAGTAGAGAGAACTGAGAGGGGTCTGCGAAGGTGAAGAGCAGGACGGGCTGGGCGGTAGCTCAGTGACAGAGCTTGCCTTGCATATTGATCTTGGGTTCGATCCCCAGCACTACAAAAAACAAAAACAAAACAAAAGTCCCAGTGAAGCCTAAACTAGTGAAACAGTATTGAGAATAAACAGAAGTAGACAAATTGAGGGTTTTGTTTTGTTTTACAGGTAGACTTAATCAGATTTGATGTCCCACTGAGTGAGGGAGAGTGAAGGATTTAAAGCCAGAGACAATGAGATTTCTAGTTTTGGCTGCAGTACGGAGAGAAAATATGAGAAGGCGTAGGAGTGCACATCTGTAATCCCTGCCCTGGGGAGACTGAGACAGGAGGATTGCAAGTTTGAGCCCAACGTGGGTAACTTAGTGACTTAGTGAGACCCTGTTTCAGAATAAGAAATAAAAAGGGATGGAGATGTAACTCGTTGTGAAGGTGAAAGCCCTGGGTTCAGTCCTCAGTATGGGGGTGGGGGTATAGCACAGCAATCTTGAGTTCCATCTCCAACACTGCAAAAAAAAAGTAGGGTTGCAAAAATGATGACTTCAGTTTTAAATATATTTAGGGCAATTATGGAGTATCTAGGTGGGTATTTATTAGTGGAAATAGGGATCTGAAATTCAACTGAAAGATTAAGGTAGCCAGGCATGGTGGTGCACACCTGTAATCCCAGAATTTGGGAGACTGAGGCCGGAGGATTGCTGCAAGTTCAAGGCCAGTCTGAACTACATAGAGAGACCTTGTCTCGAAAAAGAAAAAAAAAAGGAGAGAGAAAAAGAGAGGGGAGAGAGTGAGGGAGAGAGTGAGGGAGTGAGAGAGCAAAAAGGAGAGAGAGAGAGATTAAATTAAGGCTGATGAGTTATCAGTGTGTAGTTGGTGAGTGAAGTTTTAGTTTTTCGTTTTTTAGGATTTTTTTTGGTCTTTTTGGGACAGGGTCTCACTATGCAGTTCAGGCTGGCCTTGAACTCAGTTTGTAGCCCAGGCTGGTCTCAAACTGGCAATGATCCTCCTGCCTCAGCCTCCCGAGTGCTGGGATTACAGGCGTGTGCCACCACGCCCAGCACTGGTCAATGAAGTTTTAGGACGATAAGATTTCCCAGGAAGATCATAGAGAGTCGGAAGAGAAGATAGACTCCCTGTAATGTGTCACTTTAAGGGACAAAGACAGGCAAAAAAGAACTAGAAGAAGAAACAGAAAGTGACAAAAATGACAAAATAAAATACATTGTTTTAAAAAATGGGTGCGGTTAGAGGTGTGGCCCAGTTGTAGAGCGCATGCTTAGGTGAGCAGTACCCTGGGTTCAGTCTCTAGTACTCCCCCAGTGAGAGAAGAGGGAGTGCTCTAAATACGTTAGTCTTTGTAGGTCACATACACTCCAACTCATATTCTTTTTGTTGTGGTTCTTAATTTTATAATTCTTTAAAAAATGTGAAAGCCAGCACTGGGGGTACAGTCCCATGGTAGGATGTTTTCTTCGTGTGGGCAAGGCTGTGGGTTCAATCCCCAGCACCACCAAGCAAAAACAAAGACCATTCTTGACTGACTATACAGACAAGTCACGTACCGGCCATCGTTTGCCAGATCCCTGCTCTCTGATGTCAGATGCCTTAAAGAATTAAGGAATGACAAGAGAGACTTATTTGGCACCTATTGTGTGTGCTTATGTGTGTATGGAAAATAGTATGTAGTCATGCCTCAGTGTGCGTAGGGGATTGGCTCCCAGACCTCCTCAGATGCAAAAAAATCTGTGGATGTTCAAGTCGTTTACATAAAATGGCACAGTAGTTGCATATAGCCTGTGCAATCCACATAATTTAAATCATCTCTAGACTCATTACACCTACGACAGTGCCAGTGCTGTGGGGATACTTGTTACGCGGTACTGTTTGGGTAATGACAAGGGAGGAGGTCTGTACAAGTTTAGCACAGGGGCAGTGTTTTCTTGCGTATTTTCAACCATCAGTTGGCTGCATCCTTAGGAGCAGAAGCCATCAATGTGGAAGACTCACCAACTGTAATAACATGAATGACACATGTTTTTATATGAAACACATACATATATATATATGCACACATGTTCATGTGTGGGCATTTAAATGTTAAGAGATGGTTTCCTCTAAGACTCATCTAAAAGGCCAGGTGTACCCCCCCAGGTGTATGTCCTGAAGCTGAACAAAATGGAACTGTTACCCTTCCACGCTGATGTGGAGATTGGCCAGACGATAGAAATCCCCATTGCAATGTATCACGTGAATGCGACTAAACAGGCGGTGGCATTCTCAGACTGCTCTCATTTACCCGTGGAAGTCAGCATGGATAAGCAAGGAGTCTTCACTCTCCTCGAAGAAGGTAAGACTAGGAAATAAGTAAGTACAGGGACGGGGTGTGGCTCATCCTTGGGTTTGAAGGCCTTGGGTTCAAACCCCCATGCCACAAGATGAAGACGAAGGAGAGGAGGAGGAGGAGCAAGAGGAAGAAGGGGGGAGAAAAACTGTACTTTTTATTTTCTCTTTCTGTCTTTGAATGAAGGGATGAAGCATCAATTTAGAAACTATTAAATAGAAGCTAGGCGCAGTGGCACACGCCTGTAATCCCAGCACTTGGGAGGCTGAGGCAGGAGGATCTTTGTAAGTTTGAGACCAGCCTGGGCTACAAAGTGAGCTCAAGGCCAAGGCCAGCCTGAACTGCATAGCAAGACCCTGTCTCAAAAAAAAAAAGAGAAAAAAGTAAAAAAGAGGGTCAGGGATGTAGTTCAGTGCCACAAACGTCTGCCTGGCAAGCACAAGGTCCTGGGTTCCATTTCTGATACCAACAAAAAACAACAACAAAAAAGAAACTACTAAATAGAATCTAAGTTCACACAATTACCTTATAATAATTTTATTTATTCTGTCAACTTCCTTGAAGTAGGTATTGTTCTACTTAATTTATTTATTTATTTATGTTTTTGGTACCAGGAATGGAACTCAGGACCTTGTGCTTGCCAAGCAGGCACTTGTGCCGCTGAGCTACATCCCCGGCCCCCTGTTCTACTTAATTTATAAATGCAGAAAGGAAAGCATAGAAATTGAAAAATGTGGCCGGATGATATTAGGTTTCAGTTCCTAGTAAGATATTTTGTTTCCAGACTCAAGTTCTTTTCTTCTTTTTTCCTTTTTCCCTGCACTGGGGATTGAACCCAGTGCAGGGTTCAATCTTGTACCTGCTATGGAAGCATTCTAGACTAAGCTGCATCCTCAGTACTTTTTAAAGCTATTTAAATTTTCAGACACTGTCTTGCTAAATTGCTAATGGCCTCAAACTCATGAACCAAAGCACCTGGGATTACAGGCAGACACCACCATGTTTCCTTCTTTCTTTAATGTATACCATAGTTCTCTCTAGGAGGAGAATAGTGCTATTTAATGTCCATATACATAATTTATTTTAAAAAGGAGAAATATCTTTTTTTCTAATATAAAAAATATTAATGGTCTATTCATAAAGTTCAACATCCTAAGCCAGGTGTTGTGGTGCACACCTGCAGTCCCAGCACCCTAGGAGACTGAGGCAGGAAGATTGCGAGTTTAAGTCCAGCCTGGGTAGCTGTGCAAAACTGTGTCTTTTGTGTGTCTGTGTGGTACCGGGAATCGAACTCACAACCTTGTGCTTGCCAGGCAGGCGCTTGCGCCACTGAGCTATATCCCCGGCCCAAAACTGTGTCTTGAGATAAAAAGTTAAAAAAAAAAAAAAAGGCTGGGGATATAGCTCAGTGCAGAGGGCCTAGGTTCAATATAAGTCCTGAAAAAGATACTTGTGCAGCTTAATTTCCTCAAGAACTGACGGCATATGGGCTGGGAATATAGCTCAGTGGCGCAAGCGCCTGCCTGGCAAGCACAAGGTTGTGAGTTCCATTCCCAGAACCAAAAAAAAAAAAAAAAAAAAACTACATAGTTCCTTACTGAAGTCGTGTTTTTTGATTCAAAGGTATTCAAAGACCTGGACCAATGCACTGCTCCAGTATACACATCGCAGCCAGATCTCAAGGCCACACGCTGGTGACAGTGAGCGTGAGTGGGCACAAGGAGCACCTGGGCAGCAGTGCCACATTTGCTGCGTATGAGCCCCTGAAGGTGGGATCTTTCATAGCACAACACTGTCCTTTCTTTCCATGGACCCAGCTATGTGCGCCTAGCAGCTACCTAGTTATCTATGGTTTCAGCTCAAGATAGGTGATAATTCTGTGTCTTCCTTCCTCCTCCTTTAGCATTTAGATGCTGGGGATCAAACCTGTGGCATGATGCATGCAAAGCAAACGCTCTACCACTAAGCTATATTTGTAGCCCCACTATTTTGTCTTTTTGTTTTTTGGGTGTGTGTGATTTTTTTGTTTTGGTTTGGGTTTGGTTCTGGTTTTTTGAGACAAGGTCTTGTGTAGTTCAGGCTGACCTTGAACTTACTCCGTAGCCCAGGCTGGCCTCGAACTCACGGTGACCTGTGTTAGCCTCCCGAGCGCACCATCACACCTAGCTGTTTTGTTCTTAGACCTAATGTCTCTCATAAAAGCTATTTTAAGGAGTTGACTCCCGTATGCTTCTATCTTGTGCTTCCTGAATTAAGACATTGAGGAATATCCTCAATCTGCATCACTAAATTTTAGCTGTTCCTCCCTGTTCTTCTCCTCGTTCCTCCTCCTCCCCCTTTTCATCCTCTCCCTTCCTGTTGTTCTTTCTCCTCTTCCTCTTTGTCTTCTTCATCTTCTTATTCTTGTGGCACTTGGGTTTGAACCCAAAGCCTTCTCTCTCTCTCTTTTTTTTTTTGGTCTTTTTGAGACAGGGTCTCACTATGCAGTTCAGGCTGGCTTTGAGCTCATTTTGTAGCCCAGGCTAATCTTGAACTTCCAATGATCCTCCTGCCTCAGCCTCCCAGAGTGCTGGGATTACAGATGTGTGCCACCACATCCATCTCTTTTTCTTCACTGAGGTGTAAAATATATGCAGTAATGTATAAAGTACTCAAATCTTAAGTGCTGTTTTTCGCATATGTGTATGTCTCTACAAACACGAAGATACTGAACATTAGCATACTCCCTTCTAAAGGACACTGAAAGGGGACGTTTCTGTCCTATGCAGGGAATCGGCTGTCTTTTGTCCTGTGTACTTAGGGAGCTCAGTAGAGTAGCCATTATGTTTAGCCCTAAGGATTGGTTCATTATAATGAAGACAGTATGACAAGTGATTCAGAGTAAAAGTAGATAGAGCTTGGCATGCTACATATTTGATTCTCTCAGGAGCTAAAATTGCTTTTTGAAAAATCAAGTAAAATAAAAATTGATGTTTACAAGTTCTTGATGTAAGATACTAACAAATCCAGACTCAATGCCTCTAGGAATAAGAGATAACTTAACACTAAT